ACTGGCATGTTCAGGTTTCTAGTCTGTTTTCATAACAGCATACAATGCTGTTCTGCAAAGCAGCAGAACAGATTAAAGATCACAGAAAATTGTTTCTGGCTTACTGTTTCTGGTTTTGCAGGCACCCATGGAATTCCCAGGGTACAAATTTCTTTGCTACTGCATGGCCTTGGCATATGCTTGAATGCTAACTTAATGTGCAGAGCTACAACATGAGTTAAATTGAAAAAATAGCTCCTGATATGTAGTTTGTCTTAATAACACTCTAATCTGTAGGGCAGTGGATATCACATTTCAAATCGTTCAGATATGATTGCCTAATCTTTGCATTGTAATTCTGAAAATGGTTGGTATCACAGGTGTCTCAACCTGTTTTGGCATTTCAGTCATTAGTAGGTTATTTTTTAAGCATGTTCAGGCCTACACAGTACTTTGTATAATTTTTAATTGCAATTCAAATGCTGGATATCATACAGATGAATTGGTGAAACAGGAAGCAGATTACTCCAGGGTCTGTACAGGAGTGTCACTATATAGGAAATGAGTCCTTAAAACTATATGTGGATGGGGGGAAGTCAAGAGTGCACTGAAAGTATGGTACAAATCAAGCTCAGTAGACATCAGATCTGAGTCCACCATCTCTAGTTCTTGTTTCCCATAACTGCATCTAGTTGCCTCAATATATATAATGATTGACAAATACAGAATAATACAAAGGACCTTTATATAATATCATAAGAACAGGCTGGCTCTACTTGCTTCCGAATCCCTTCCAGCAAGAGAGAAGAGAGGTGCAATTTTTTAATGCTGTTTCTATAGTGCAGGCAACTCTACAGTTCCTTTGGCAGTTGGCTCTGGCAGAAAATTTAAGCAGCATGAGTAGCTAGTTCTGTGCCACTGAAATGAATTCAGAAGTCAGTGCCCCTGTAGATCTGACATACTTTTACGCAGTGAGCACTGCAAGTTTCTTAATGCAGCTTTACACACATTTTTTCCTTTGGACTGGGTGGAGTTCAGGAAGAAGCCAAAAATGTTCTTGCTTGTGTAATTTTCAGTTAAGATCAGTTGAATTTAATTCTTGAATGTGATATTTTTCCATTGGTTTGTGTAACTCTAAACACAAGTTATGTGATGTCATGTGCTCTGGTAGAGGAGCTAGAAAGGTTACAGTTTAGTGGGATTTAGAACATGGAAATGCTAACCTATTTAAAATTGTAAAAAAAAAAAAATTTACAATATTCCTTATCTTTTAAAGGCATCTCTTGCCTGCCTCTCTGAAGAGTAAAGAAGCCTGAGCTGCTTTTTGATTCCTTTATTTTCAAACATTGTTATCTTTTGGAGACTTACCTCTCCTTGAGACCTGCTAGTAATGCTTATAATGCACTAAAATACCGCTGCAGCCAAGGCATAGCGTTAAGACTCTCAATATACACATTCACATGCTTTACATGTTTCTTGCTGTATTTAAGATATTTTATAACATTTCCACATTAATTTATAGGATCAAATTCTGCAGTCATTGTATAAAGGTAAAATTTCTGACTTCAGCACTGCCTAAGATGGAGTTCAAAATCTTTATTGTGTTGTGTATAGCCACTTTAATGGTGAAAGCTCTTTGTTGAGTACAACATGTCCACGGGTTACTGCTTATGCAAGAAAGTTGTAGTGTGGTTGCATGTTCCCTAATGTGATTACGCAATCAATTCATATAATCTCTCATTCTGTTGATTGCTTTACTGCCGGTAAAAGGACATTCATATAACCTACCTGCACAGAAAACCACATCCCTTCTGTTTGAGAGATGAGACTGATGACAGACTGTGAATTTCCATGTGTGGTTTTGGGGCAGCAGCTAGGTCTTAATTAATACCCAGCAGCAACTTTGTTCCAGACTGTGTTCTAATTTTTTTATGAGCAATAATCACTCTCATATCTTCACACAAGGCGTCCAGCATTTCGTCACAATACAGCTTTTCTTTGAGGAGGTATTGCTAAACCTCAACAAAGTTGGGAAGCTCTCTAGAGAACTTACTACCACTACTAGAGTGATGCCAGTTGTGAGAGAGTGCATGGAGGGGAAAACTACTTGGCCAAGAAACTTAAAGGCAACTACCAAGAAGATATCAAATCAAGAGTAGAGAGGACTGAGGGGAAAAAGTAGTTCCTAGGAAGGAGGAGAACAGGGAACAGTAGAGAAATAGTGGAAGAAAGGCCACATTTTCTTTGGCTCAGCACCCAAATCATCACCACCATCATCAACAACATCAAATCAGGCAGGTGAGTAGGAACCTGAATGTTCTTATCCAGATCTGATGTGCAGTGAGGAGAGGGAGAGATAAGTTGTGCAATACCTTCATCACCTGACTGTTAGCGCTGGATAACACAGATCTTGCACAATCCTGCTCCAGAACCTCTTCTCTCATTACGAACTGGACTGTCGTGCCTACTGCTGGCTACCAAATGCTAGACATAGAAAACAACAGCTGATGCCATGCTAACTAATCAGAAGAAAAGGTTCCATTTTCTTTGTGCTTCATGGTGTCAAAATTATTAACTCTTGTCTTCCTTCTCTGAAAGCAGTCATTTCAGGGGGCAGTCCTTCTAGTGAAGAACATTAGGTAACACCATTTGTAATGAAAACAAACACACAGAAAATTAACTTGGGTGACAGAAACATCCAATGGCCATTGCCTTACCAAAAAATGATGCCATAGCTCAGGGATTAGAAACTTCGATTCTGCAGGCCACATCCAGCTGTGTGACCATGTCTCATTGCCCTTCTTCCCGAGGGTCCCAAAGTCCTTATAGAAGTGTATCTGTTGTATGACCAAAGCATAGGGAGAAGACTAGTGAATTGGTCACACAACAGGGATGACTGGCATGTCTGACCACAGGCAGGAGTGTATCTAGCAACAGATGACTGGATACATGACAAACAGCCAAAATATATTTGTTTCCCTTTTTTTTCACATTTCTATCAGCAGACTGAGAGATGAGTCCCTGACAGTTTGCAAGAGAAGGCTGAGGAGGACATTGAATGGATTTGCATGGGGTTTTTAAAATGACAAAACTATATCCATTAAACCAGTTGGTAGAGGTTTTATTCTTAAAAAGGTTTGTGGGGCCCTAAGTTTTTTTAGGCTTTAGTTCAGGGGAAGCCAACAGAAAGCAGTCCTGTTCGTCTTGGCTGCCTTTTGCAGAGTACTTAGGAGGTGGTGTTCATGGTTCTCCATATGAAAATCTCCCTTGTGTACTGTACAGATACAATGATTTCATTATGCATTGTAATTGTAGGTGTAATTAACAAAATCCACAAAATGTGCTTAAGAACAATTGGTCTGCTGAGTCTTGGTCTTTCTCCTAAATAATCAAGAACACATCAGGGACAGTGGCTTTCTCCATGCTCTTGAACAAAATCCTATTTAAAAAAAGAATTGCCTGTCTGTTCATTGAGACACTATTTGAGATTTGGCTGAAGTATCTTGGAGGCATAATCGGAGTTCATAAATGGAGGGAAAAAGAACCTACAAATCTCTTTTTCTGAGCAGGAGCCTCCTAAGTAGATCTTGGAGATAAATGTTATGGCCAAATCTGTGAATTTAAAATGGATTATTGGCTGCTTAGTTTGAAGGCTGGCTGGGGTCAATTTTGCTATCAGACAATTTTAATTAAGGTGTATTGAATTTCTCCAGGAGGCTAATTTATTTATTTCCTATTTGGTGTAGTGTGTGGAGAACTTTTATTTCTTATTTTGGCACAGAATTTTTATAGGTCTCTGGGCCTCTTGAACTGGCTATTCAGCATTAGGAAGATGAAGATTAGTGCAAGTAGGAAGTTACAAAAATTACAACTACAAAAAATGCTAAGTCCATGTATTCAGAGAGGAATAAGATGTTCCAGATTAATAACAAATAAAGAATATGTGATGTTCAGACTCAGTGACAGTAAAAACCAAACCAATATACAGAAGTAGTAGACAGCACATTTCATGATTTGATATTTTCATTTTTAACAAATGGTGAAACTAAGGATGGAAACATAGTACAAGTTGCCTAAGGCTATGCAGCACATCAGTGATGAAGCTGGGAATATATTCCAGATACCCATCTACCCCACAATGCTACTTTGGTCCGCGACCTGTGCTCACCTCCAGTGCTGGAGCTTCTCAGGCTGCACATTTACCACAGGCCCAAGTGCAGACCTCTAGCACAGCCATGCAATGGTATGGGCATCTGGCCCTGTGAGAGATGTTTCCCATGTCCGAGATCTGTTGAGAAGTGCATCACATCACCAGACTGCTATTTGAGCTCACTGGTCCTACCGTAAGCATAACAGGCCATGGTTTTTAGGTTAGCTATTGATAGAAGGCTACTACCTTCAATGTGGCACATCATATACCTAGTTGAAATACAGTGCTTCCTGCCTCACTTCTAAATGAGACCTAAGGCAGTGAACAAGAGAAACTGTACTACCTGGTAGCAAATGCAAAAAACACAGGCATGGCTGTGGAGAATACAAGGTGAGAGTCTCACATACAGTGCCTCAAAATTGCCATTTTGCATTTTCACCATAATTGTTTTTTAATAGCTGAAAAGAGAGATTTCATGCCTCCTGAACTTCAACATTGAGTCAGACAGACATAGGGACAGCTTGGAGGAATAAGTGAATATTCTATACAGCTCAGTACAGATATTGTCAAAGTCCAGAAGTCCAATGGAGTACAAGAGATATGAAATGTGACATCTATGAAAGGATCAGGAGCCCAGCATCCCTGAAGATCCAGTTACCAAATAAAGTATCACTAGTTTGATTTACAGTACTTTTTAATGGGTTGGAATACCACAGTGGCCTCTCTGGCAGAGAGTAACACCTTCTCCATCCAATTAGTGCCAAGTGGCATCTACCTTGCTCCCAATCTTTTTATTCTAACTTTTGCATACAAAAAAACCCATGGAGGACATTGCTATTCCTTCTAATCATGCCATGTTTGCTTTCTGCAGGTGAACGGCCTTTTGAATGCAGCTGGCAAGGATGTAACAAGAAGTTTGCCCGCTCCGATGAGCTGGCCCGCCATTACCGCACTCACACAGGAGAAAAGAAGTTCAGCTGTCCTCTCTGTGAGAAACGCTTCATGCGCAGCGACCATCTGACAAAGCATGCCCGTCGCCATGCCAATTTCCACCCAAGCATGCTCAAGAGGCGAAGTGGAAGCAGCTCAAGAACAGGCTCTGTCAGTGACTACAGCCGCTCAGATGCCTCAAGCCCGACTATTAGCCCCGCCAGTTCCCCATAGACCTACCTGCACTGGATGTCAGCACTTTGCCTCCAATACCTAACGTGGAGTTTTGTTTGTGTTGCACACATGTAAAAAACTCTGTCGCTTCCCCTCCTCAGTTCCCCACTCCCTCCCGCCCCCTTTTTTTTTAAATTAGTAAATAGCTGCCTCCCACTGCAATTTCCAGTCAAACTTTCTTTACCCAACCACACAAGTGGCTATTCTAACCTCATGGACAGACAGACTTACATGTTATACTTAGTGACTCCTGCTGTCTCAATATTTCACACATTTTGCAACCATTTAGAGATCCTCTTGATTATTCTTTGTAAGAAAATGAGAAAATCTAAAAAAAGAAAAAAACCTGACTTAATTCACCTCAGGTGTCAAAGTAGTTTTGTAAGACTGGATTGCACAACGTGAGCATACATACACTTACAAATCAACTGTGTTGGATTGTGTCTCCCTTCTCCTTTCTCAGGGATGGATATTTATGTTACACAATAACTACAATGAAGACACACCCTAACTGCAGCCTTATTCTGTAAATATATTTGCACTCAGAAGCTTTTTGTTAGGTTCTTTCACACACTGGGGAAAAAAAACCCCAACAAACAAACAATACAAAAACCAAACCAGTACTGGAATGTACTACCAGACTCTTCCATTGTTTGTTTTCCTGATTATATACCTACACTGGGGAGTGTCCAAACAGGAGTCTTGTCTTTCTTCAAGCTGCCCTCTGCTTTTGGTAGCAAGCCATCTTTTCACTTCATGCTGAAGATGCTCCAAAATCAACTTCCTATTGCAAAAATCTCTGTGAGGTTGATAAACTTGTTTGCTTATTTGTTTCATGCTAGATGAAATTCTGAGAAAAAATTCTAAACAAGATGCCTTAAGTAAATAACCTAAATCATGAGGAAACATATTTACACTGGGTAACATTTTATTGCAGGGTGGCATGGAATCTCAGAGGCATTCTGTCATCACTCTCTCTAAGTTGTTAAGCTCTCTGCACTGCCTCTTCAGTATGGGACCAACAGATTATGCAAATCAAACCACACTGACTTGAACAATTTTCTTTATTCTTTTTTCCTTTTTTTTTTAAATGAACTATGGAAATAGCATAGCTGAACCACTGCCCACCAAAACGTTTATCAAGGTACTTACCTACTGTACAGCTGTATCTTAGCAAGACAAATTGGCTAAGACATAGTTTCTGTATCCTGTTGCATCACTATTGTGGTCACTGATAAAAGGAAGCAAAAATCATAAGGTATCTTCTGACTGGAAAAACAAAATATGCATTTTTTAAGTTTTAAAATAAAATGACATTATAGCTCAGCACTACTACAAGTTTCTCAAAAATACACATACCAGCATAAAGTAAGGTGCTGTCATTTCTGAATAACTGCTTAATAACTAAAAGGCAATCTTTGCTAGTTTTCAATAACTTTCAAATATCTGACACTAGATAGACCACTAGGAGGTAGATTTTTATGTTTTATGTGGTAGAAAATATAGCAAAAGACCAGGAGCATTGTGATGTACTGGAGACCTCACTGGCAGCAAATATACTCTCCTTGGTTTGGCTGGGTCTGATGGTGCATAGTATAAATACAGGTCCTTTTGATTCAGGAATTTTTGGGGTTTTCTTATTTTTACTGTAGGGTATAAATACAGTTAAGTGTAGCATGGTGAAAAGAAACTCTCTACGCCAAACCTGCCGTTTGATATCAAGTGAATGCCTCCAGATTCCAAATGAACCTGTATCTTGCTGCTTTGCATTGATCCAATTTTGCAAGTTTTTATTGTACTGTATATTAACTGTGAGGGGCTAATATAGATTTCCAAGTAGTTTCATAGGTACTTCCATAATATTTACATTATTCCTAATACTATGCATTCTATTAGTTGTATGGATAAATACTTAAAGACAGTTCAAAGTGCAGATATTTCAGTATTTTTTTCATGTTCATTTGCTTCAGATTTCACCTCTGTAAAATCACAATTTTCCCCTTTTGAATTGGAAGTCATGCGAGGCACAATTCTACTGTTTCATTTCACAGAAAATGAAAGAACATTGTAAGGGTTTTTTTGTAAGATGATGAATATTGTTGAGTTTGTGTGATGAGTTGCCTAACCACTGTTAGTTAGGGGAAAGCCAGATCTGTTTGCCTACATAGATTTCAGCTTTTTTTTTTGCTTTTTTTTATTAAATCTTGATCTACTGAGATACATAATTTTAACAGCTTGATACAATTCAGGTAACAGGAATTCACATTCCAATCATTTCTGTGACTGCTAAAAGTGCTCTTGTGCTGTAGTTAGTAAAGAGGCATTTAAGATATCTAGCTAAAGGAATTCTACAGGTCAGCTGTGTCTTGTGCACATACTTCGAAACAAATCATGAACACTTTTCTCATTATCATTATACCTTAACAGAGGGATTGGGGGAGGGGGAGGGACAGGACAAAAACAAAAGGAGAACTCAGTATCAGCAAAAATCATGGGCTTCATGTTCTAAGTTCAGTTTGTTGTGAAATCATTTTTTCCAACAAGAGCATCATTTAATCTTCAGCAAAGGAGGAACTACTCCAGTCCATTTATCTAGGGTGTAGTAATTCGTCGTGAATCAGTAGGTGCATTACAAATAAGTTGTTTTAATAGCCTGGAGAAAGAATATTCGCATCAAGTTTTATTAGCACTGAGATTATGGGATAACCTATTCTGAGTGACACAAGAACTATGTAATCTTTAACTCAAACAGTAAACTAAGCATTTTATGTATATTCTTTATAGATATTACTAATCTCCAAGTTTAAGCAGAGGGAAAAAAAAAAAGGTTCAAGGTCAAATTTCCAGTTCAGCCAGTTCATCTAATGAGAAGGCTATGAGACTATATATAGCCAACACAGCTACACTTTCAGGAAATTCTCTGAAATTTTTCATTAAAACTTCTTTTTTTACATCTTCGCTTTAAAGACCTCAGAGCATGTTAGGCTGACAGTCAAATTACTGCATTTTAAAATCCTAGCTAGAGTTTCAAATATCTCTATTAAATGTTTAATACATGGTAGCTTTAGGGTAAAGTGATGAATTCCAAACCACTAGTAGTTTCCAAAACTGAATGTGAACAAAACTTCTCTAAATATTTTTGTATGGAAAGAGAGTGTTTGGGGTTTTCTAGCATCTGCTAGATGGTAGAAAAAAGCAGAAGCACCAGCAAGGTCATAAGACTCCATTCTCATGATGGTTCCTCCTCAGTTTTGCAGATATGAGAAGTCTGAACAGCTCAAATTATGTTTTGAAATCTGGGTCCTTATCCAAACTATCCTCAGATTTTTACTCTTTTGTTGTTTCACCCAGTGGTGTAACCTAAAACAGTCTCCTGGCGTAGCAACAAACGTTGCACACTCAGGAAACACTGCTCTGGCAAGGTGCAGATTTCTTCACAGTCCTCCATTTGGAGAAGTGTGCATCTCTCCTGCCGCCTCCTTTCCCCATGCAATCTGTTGAGGTGAATCCCCACAAACTATAAAATTGCCCTAATTTTTTTCTTTTAATTTCAGAATATAACAACAGGTTTATTATTATTAAGAAAGCCCTGAAAGTAAGTTTGTTTTTCTCCAGCCATGACTCTAGTTTCCTGTCTAAGAGTTGAGCTTAACTGCATTGCTGTAGGAAATGGGTGCAAGTTAAAATCATCACTTCACTACCACCACTCAACTGAAACTAAAGACGCTCTTAGAAACCCATTCACCCCTTCCATTAACCTCATCCTGTGCAAAGGCCTAGAGCGCATTAACGGCCACATGAATTCAATTTTCATCCTGCTTCTTACAAAGCAGTCCTGGTAAACTCCTGGCAGCTAGATTTTATTGTGAGAATTGTTTATATCTGCAAATTAGTTGTTCCTTGCTTTTATAATATATGCATAGTATCTGTTTACATTACATAACTGCAAAGGTGTATATTTGTAACAAGTCATCAGAAGCCTCTGTTTGATGGTAACGCCTAATTCCTGTATGTATCCTACCCTCTTTACTGCATTAACCCTTACAATAACTTTTAGCTATGAGGGCCTCTGTACACCTTTTAAACCTCATTACCTTCTATCTAGACATTCAGCACTTTCTGTGTTTCATGCAGCCAGGCTGTAAAAGGCTGTGTGGGGAGCTTACCTGTTTCTAGCTATTCACATTCACAGCTGCTTTTCTACAGTTCTTTGCCATGAGTTCTGAAATTTGTACTGTGTGAAGTGCATTGTTGTTTTGGGGAACATGGTTTGTGAAGAAAGAATACGGAAAATGAACTCTGCATACTTAAAGCTTGCCTTTTCATTGCCATTTGATTTACTAATTTCATCAGGTGATGCCTACAAACTGACTTTCAGGTGCTCTTTTACTCCATCACACCATCTGTTTGTGCATTGGGTGCTAACATATAGTCTGTCAGTGAAGGGTATGATGAATGCCTGTATTTTTAACTCTTTTGGTGATAAAGCTATAGCCTTAGGCAGAAGAAAATAACCAAATTATACTTGTTTACCCCATAAGCCAGACTATAGAATGCAAAAACCCATCCACTGGTATAGATTTTTTATACATATATATATTAAAAAATATTTATATATATGGATTTATATAAGCGTATGCACACATATAAAAATACATATATATGTGTATATTGTATAGTACACATAGCAGTGTGTACTATAGATGCTACACACCAAATAATGAAGGGATGTCTACAGAGCAAAAATAGGTGTCCATTTCATTATAACTAGTGATGCGTCTGAACCAAAATCCTAGATCCAAACACCACTGCATTTGGAAAGTTTGAACCTGTTTTTTGAGATTTGTGGTTGAGTTTGATCTCTGGTTACAGCTGCAGTTACTTGTGTATATATGCATTCTGGGGGACGTGTGCTCATGTGGACATGTGCTTTTTCACAAGCGCGTGCCTGTGTGGGTGACAGAGAATGTGTGTGCCAATAAGTGTGCACGTGTTTACATATATACTTCCAGCTTTGGTGAACTATAATGTTACTGGTGTCATCTTCACTTGTACAGTTTTATCAGCAGCACATGAATGCTTCCAACTTTTCAACTCTTTGAATCACTACATTGAAGTATTACAGTTGTACAGTTATATGTTCATCTATTCTTGCTCTGCTGTAACTTTTTATGTATTTTGTACTGCATAGATTATATATTGTGATAATGTCCTGTGCAACAATAAAACGGGAAAAAAAAGGAAGAAAATTAACAACTGTAAAATACTGTCTTAACTTGTATGCATGGTTAGTGATGTTTACATTTTCTAAAATAAAACTTATAACTATGAAATATTGGTTTTCTCTTAATTTCTTTATGTATCAGTTAAAAAGCATCAATTTTATATTTCTGCTGTTCGTTTGAGGCTTGATATCTTGTCTGGTATCTTTGTTTAAATTTCATCTAGTGCTATTGTTTAAAATGGGAATTTTTAAAAAATCATTAGTCAACTATCCTTTCTTTCAAAGCCCAGTTCTTTGCAAATTTCTGATGTTTTAATCTCACAGCACCCTGAAATGTTCTTTCATAATTTGAAAGATGAGGAAATTGAGATCTCAACTTTCTCAAAGACATGAGGCAATGGCAGATATATGCCTTTATCCTCCTTTGAAAGTAATGCCACACCGCAGGAAAACAATTTTGTGCCCTATAATGAATATCTGTCTATAGAATATTATAACTGATTGCAAAAATAATTTAAAACAGTGGACTACTGTTGAGAGATGAAAGCTAAAATATCCTTACTAAGCTAGGAGCAATTGTGGGAATTACTTTAAAATTAGTACATTTTCTTGTAAGGGGACATGAAAACTGTTCAGAGCAAATAACTTGGAGAGCCGTTATCTTTAATAGCAGGTTTTCCCATGTATTCATTACAGTGTTGAACTGTCAGTGCTATTCATTATCTATGACCATGCGCCAGTTAGCTTGTACATCTGTATGCATCTATGATCCACTGCTATAACTTACATAGAGGAACTGGCTAAAGCACATAAATGCTTAACTATGTTAATACAGTATTTAAGGGCTCATTATCTGAGAATAACATACTCTTTGCACATGCAGTGGTTAGCCCTGACTCTTTATTAGTGCACCTTGACTGGAACAGAAGACAAAATGCTTCTGTCCAGCAGAAAACCAAAGGTTTGTTTCATTCTCTTCTAACATAAGCATGATGCGGCCTCTCACTCCTTATTCTCAATGTCTGTTATAACTGGGAAATCCCAGGCAGAAGACTCTCTGAAGCATTCAGGTTGTGAGAATCCTCAGGCAAAAATCCTGGTAAACCATCTAATACCTGAGTGAGTCGAAGTTCCCTTGCAGACCTTGTGTATCAGTCTGTCTGTTGAACTTCTTCCATTTCAGATCCACTTAAGTAACTAACCTCACCCCACCCCTGGCGGTCTTTCCCTTAATGCTTCCTCAGATGTCCTCTCACCCCATTCACAATTCTTAAATCAATTTCCACCCTTGAACAGACAGGCTAGGCAGCTGCTTTAGAAGTCCAGTTGCTTTTTGCTAGTTTGTTCTTCTGGAAAGGGTGTGACATGTCTAACCTCTGCCGCTACCCGTTCTTTTGGCCACTCGCTCTATCTGAATTCACTCTTTGTACTAGGGGGGAAGGTGGTGAAGGTCTTTTTTTTACTGATGCTGGAGAAAGTTGACACAGACTGTTGCGCCTCTTTTCTGTGAAGGAATGAGTCTGAAGTTTCTTGAAAATACAGGTTACACAACACTTCTAGGCACTGTTTGTTTGTGAAAATCTGTCCTGAAGAGTAGCATTTCTGATGTCTTCCTACGTGAAGGATCCACCTCATATTTGATAACAGAAGAGCAGTCAAAGATTGTTTTCTAAACTTTCTAGAAGAATGGAAAGAGAAACAAATCCTTCTAAAAGGATACGCCTTTTCAGTTTAAGTATGGAGTAGTTGCCTTGGTACTGTAATGTGCCTCCCCACCCAGACACACACACTCTGGAATGTGTATGTTAACACATTCTCACCTGCAAAAGAAACTTCTCTCGGGTTGCTAAATGTATGGGTTTCTGTCTTGCCTGTGACTCAGCATTTGCCATGAAATGTTCATAGACTTGGCAGTAGTCCATCAGTTCAGAAGAGAAGCAATAATACTGTGAGAATTAGGATGGGATTTTCCTATTTACATTTACTTGTGTATCATATCTGGCTTCAAAGTAATCCACCTTAAGGTTCATTGCCCCAGCTTTTCAAGGAAGCAGATCCACGTCATGCTTTGCTACTTGACTGCAGGAGATTACGGCGACATAAATATAAATATGCAGTCAATAGAAACAAGAGAAGCAAGAGAAGATGGAGCTTGAAATAAAAAAGGTGAGGACAATGAGACAAGATGAGTGTTTCTAGCAGCTGACCAGAAAGGCTCATACAGCATCAGAATACATGTGGGGTTTCCTAAAGAATTTCAGAGCAAGCAAGCTAGGCAGCACCTCCAAAGATGACCAGAGATCACATCATCTTTTCTGAGAGCAGTAGAGGAGGGAGCTAAGTCAAAACAGTAATTCAAGCAGGCAAGCACCTGTGTCTAGCTAGTTAAAATGTGTTCCTGGCACAGCGAAGAGTATAAAGAGAGAAGAAGGGATTATTTTAATAGATTCCTCAATCCACGCACCAGGCAAGGGAGGGGAGTCTGGATGCCCAGACATCTGAGCAGCTAGAGGGAAAGAGGAAAGCATGAATGAACACTGGCTTTGGGAGCCAGATTTGTGCTTTGTGCAACTCAGAGAACAAGAT